TTAAGGATGAGAATGATAGGTAGGGGTTTGAGGGGGTGACTGTGTGTCCAAAGCTTCCAGCTCCCTCATCCTCACTTAGCCTAAAATCAGTCTCTTTCTTTCTCTATCTCGCTGTGTGAGACAGAATATGTACATTCTGAACATACATACATACATATATATATATTTTCAATGTAAGATTTCACTTGAGTAGAAAGATATGTTGCTATGAGACAATTGAATGTTATTACTCTCTAGAGACATAGCAATTCTTTCTTTTCTACCTCATGAGGTTTCTAGTAGGGAACAAATAAAATATAAATATATAAAGCCTAAAGGAACTTTGCAACATTGTTGAATGTGAGTGAAGACTGGGACCTTGCTTTTCTTCTACTGGTGTGCCATTTAATCATTTGTCTAGGTGATAATTCACACATTTTAAAAAACATTGTGCCAAGTCTTTGTGAGGCTGGGACAACACAACAGATGATGACTTAACATATTAGTTAGCTAGGACTGCTGTCACAAAGCATCATGCACCAAGTGGCTTAAACAACAATATTTTTCCCCCACAGCTTTGGAGGCTGTAAGTCCAAGATCAATGGTTGGCTCCTTTTGAGGGCTGTGAGGGAGAATCTCTGCCATGTCTCTTTCCCAGTTCGCAGTGGTTTTCTGGTAGTCTTTAGCATTCCTTGACTTGTAGATGCATCACTCTAATCTCCACCTTCATGTTTATATGACATTTTCCTTCTGTGCAGATCTGTGACCACATTTCTCCCTTTCATAAGTGTATCAGTCATATACTTATATGTGACTGTTGAATTAGGGGACCACCTTACTCCATATGACCTCATCTTAACTAATTACATCTTTAGTAACCTTTTTTTCTTTTTCCCAAATAAGTTCACATTCTGAGGTACCTGGGGTTAGGACTTCAACATATCACTTTTGGGGACTACATGATTTAGTCCATAATACTCACATATCATCTGCCTAAATTTAAAAGTTACACATAAAACTAAGAAACTAACAAAGAAAATATGTTTTATTCTCCTCCAATAATAAATATACTTTTTTAAAACACCTGGAGGGATGAGCTTTTTGGGATCCCTTAGAGATTTTTTTGAGATAACTTAGAGATCCCTGCTGAGTTATGATGGAATGAAAAGAGTTGGTCTTTATCCTCTACCTCCTTCATGTCCTGCTATTTATTCCTGCCCCTGGCTCTGTCCTGCTCTGTGGTCACCTCAAGCACATGTCTGTGAACAATCAACTGGCACATTCCAGTGACATTCATATACCCTGCAAGGAGCCTTGCCTTGGTTATCCTTGGAGCCCAGGCATTGCTCCCATTGGTGGTGAGTCTGACTTCAGATGAATGGATCTAGAGAAAAGGCCTTCAAAGGCTGTTCAGGCAGGAAGTTCCAGGGTCCTTAGGTACCTAGACTATGGTCTAGAATGAGGGCTTTGGGTGTTGCTGATTCACAACTAGAGAAGGCAAGGTTCTTTATGGTGAGGACATCACGGAAAGAACTTCTCTTGCCTGGATCTAAGTCTATACTGTCAGTGAACTAAACTTCTTGATAGTCTTATGGCTAATTGCCTAGTGAAGGGAGACAAAGCATAAATGATAAGCAAAATACGTAAGTAAATTATATAAAATGTTCAAAGGTGATAAGTGCATAAGATACAAGTGGTGCAGAGCAGGAAAGATCTGGTGTTTCCAGGGACAGGACAGCTTGCAACATCTCACATAGGGTGTTCAAGGTAGACCCAGCAGAGATGGAGACATCTGAGCAGGATTTGAGAGAGGTAAGGGAACTAGGGAAATGGATACAGGGCACAAAGGCACATTTTGGGAAGAAGGAGTTGGCCGATCAAAGATCCCAGGGATGAAGTGTGCCTGGAGTGTCCAGGAGACAGAAAGGAGGCCAGTGTTGATTGAATGTTATAAGCTTAGGAGGATATAATAAGAGTTAAAATCAGAGAGATGAGGATAGGAGGTCAGATCACATAGGGCCTTTTAGGTTTCTTTTAAAGGCTTGGGCTTTTACTCTGAGATTAGAAGCTCCTGCAGAGTTTTGAACCGAAGAATGATCTAACCATTCCCATTGCTGTGTTGAGAATACACTATAAGGGGCAGAGTAAGCATAGAAAGGAGGAAACTGTTTAGAAGGCAATTATATAATCCAGTCCAAGGATGAGAGCAGTAAGTTGGACCAGAGTATTTTCTGGTGGAGAGTGATAAGTGGTTGGTGATTGGATTTGGGAAATATTCTGAAGGTGGAGCCAACAGGACTTCCTGATGGACTGGAATATATATATATATATATATATACACACACACACACACACACACACAAGCATACATATATTTATATTCCAGTTATGTAAATATCATGTATTTCATGTATTTCAAATGAGCCCATATCAGCTCTCATATCAGGCACTCACATTTTTCAGTTAATAAATGTATAGACTTTTATGTGTTTATATGGTTATGTAAATGAACATACAAAATAGTTTAATTTTTTTCATACACAGGAAAACATTTAATTAGCAAGGGTTTACATTTTTTCAGTAATTTGAAGGGCAAGGATTAAAAAAAATTCCTAAGTAATTCTCTTAAAAAATGTGTGTGTATACACACACACACACACACACATAGAGAGAGAGAGAAATTTGGGTTAGCTTCAAGTTTTTTGCTCTTACAACTGAACGATGGGTTTGACATCAACTAGGAGGGGAAAGGATGTGGATAAAACAGGTCTAGTGGAAAAGAACTCTAATATTTTCCCTGATCCCTATGTACTTTTGGAGATACTGAGTTTGGGATATTTATTAGCAATTCAAGGGGGATATTAAGTTGGTAATTTGTTACTCATCTCTGGAATCTGGGAGGTATTCTGGGTTGGAGTTATAAAACTGGGAATCCTCATCAGTGTTCAGATGATATTTAAAGCCTTGAGAGTAGACGAGATCATTAAAGGAGTTAAGCTTGATGGGAAAGGGGAGCAAGTGGTGAGCCCTGGGAAACTCTAGCACTGGAAGTGGCAGAGAGGAGCATGCTCCCACACAGAAGACTAAGAAGGAGAGACAAAAAGGAAATGAAGCTAAACTAAACTGTAACTAAAAGGAAGCACAAGAGGATGTAGGGTATTGGAAGTCAAATGAAGAAAATATATCAAGGAAGATAGACTTACTCATTGTATCCAATACTGTTGACAAGTAAATTAGAATTGTTCTGAAAAATAACCTTTGGATTTAGCTAACTGGAGGTCAGTAGTGATCTTGACTAAAGTAGTTTCATTGAAATGGTGGGAGCAAATACCTGCTTGTAATGGCTCTAAGAGAAAACTGGAGGCAAGAAACCAGAGGCAGTAAAGACAACCATTTTGAAGAGTTTTGCTGCAAAGAGGAGCAGGGCAATGGGTCACCATTTGGCAGGGAAGTAGGGTAACGAGAAAGTTTTAATTTTATGATGGAAGACATAACATCATGGTTGCATGCTGTCCAGAATTATCCAGTAGACAGTACAGAAATGATGCTTTGAGTAGAAGAGGATTTCAGTAGCAATGTTTTGGAGTAGGTCAGAGGAGATGGGGTCAAATGTACAACTTGGGAGACTGGTTTGGGATAGGAGCATGGGTAACTCTTCTCTGGTGATAAGCATAAAAGCGGAACATGGAATTTGCTTACCTCGGTAGATGCAGTCATGAAAGTCTGTGGCAGTTTCTTTTGACTGATTCTAATTTTTAAGTGATGTAGGAAACAATGCCATCAGCTGAGAGTGAGGATTAGGGGAGGAGATGCTGAGGTTTCAGCAGAAAGAAGGGTGTATAATCGTCCAGCAGAAAGGGAGAGTAATGGACTAAGAACATACAGAATTAAGGGCTCATTTGACTTGCGTGATCATGCATTTCAAATGAGCCCATATTAGCTCATATCACACACTCAAATAATTTTCAATGAATACATTTACATGCTCATATGATATATAGGAGGTGATGGGAAAAAGCTTAGTTTTTTTTTCATTCATACACAGGAAAACATTGAATAAGCAGGGATTTAAATTTTTTCAGTAATTTGAATGGCAAGATTAAAAGTTTTTTTTGATTGTTTTAAAGAATGTGGTGGCCGGGCGCGGTGGCTCAAGCCTGTAATCCCAGCACTTTGGGAGGCCGAGACGGGCGGATCATGAGGTCAGGAGATCGAGACCATCCTGGCTAACACGGTGAAACTCCGTCTCTACTAAAAAATACAAACAAAAAACAAAACAAAACAAAAACAAACTAGCCAGGCGAGGTGGTGGGCGCCTGTAGTCCCAGCTACTCGGGAGGCTGAGGCAGGAGAATGGTGTAAACCCGGGAGGCGGAGCTTGCAGTGAGCTGAGATCCGGCCACTGCACTCCAGCCTGGGTGACAGAGACTCTGTCTCAAAAAAAACCCCAAAAAACAAACAAACAAACAAAAAAAGAATGTGGCATAGTGCATTAAATTTTACCCACTGTGCAGGTGGAAATCTGTGGGATAGTTTGCCATGGTAATGATGACTATAAAAGTAGGTTTAGAAGTAAGGAAAATAATGTGCATAGATAAGAAATTTGATCAGAAGGGAGAGTTTCAGAGTTTCAGATCTTGGAGTCCAGGCATAACCAAGTTTAAATCATGCCTCTGGGTGGGAGAAATCCAGTGATAATGAATTGATTGGTGGTGAAGAGGGTGAAAAACTACAAAGAAGTTTTTGCCAACAATTGAATTTAAGGATTTCGGGATTTATGTTTTGGTTTTCTGATAGAAAATAATACAGCATTCTGCTGAAATATACCAATTCCCTCAATAAGTAAGATTATGAGTAGGTCTATAGGTAAATATAATTTAAATTTTAAAAATAGATTACAGGTATACCTAGATCTTGAATTAATTGATGAGGTTTATTTATATGATTGTATTTCTTATAAAATACATTAGAAATACTGCTTTTAACTGTAGGCACACAATTAAAACAAATGCAAACCTATGTTTAATTTAAAATATATTAAAATCATTTAATAAAGGTCTTTTATTATTTTACACATCAAATTTCATGCAATCAGTACTCCACTGAAGGAGAAAAGATTATGGAAAAAGCAATGAAAGCACAGGTAGAAAATAAACAACACAAAAAACTAATTCTGATTTTTTTGGTGTCCTTAATACCCTGTGCTATCTTTGACAACAAAGATGCCTTACTTACGAGATTCAGAGGCCCAGAAGTGGAAAAAAATACAAGTAGTTAATGAATAATGCATATGTTCATAGCAATGGTCAAATTATACTGTTTCCTAATGGGTACCATTTTTCTTCATCAAGTGGGACACTACAGAGTTGGATGTTAATTGCTCCCACAAATACAGTTTTACTCTTCACAATAAGCATTAAGACATGTCCTTGGAGCTCTGTGACTTCATCATATACTACCTAAAAAGGGAGAAAATAATGAAAATATAATTCAGAAATGCTTAAATACATCTCTTTTTTGAGTATTGCTTTTAATTAAAAAAAAAAAATTAGCTGCTAATATCTTGTACCCTGGCAAAGATAGGTTAATGTCAGACTCTTTTATTTCTAACTTTTATTCTGAAAAGCTAAAGGTTCTGCTAACATAACAGAGTTTAATGACAGGCTATTTTTGTAAGAATCCTAGAATTTACTGATTCTACTAAGAATTGCTCACTCTATATTTAGAAAGATGGCAAATTACTCTCTAGGAAGAAATTTAAATATTCTTTACCTTCTATATCCTGTAAATGTACAGCTATTATGTATTCATAGAAATAAAAAAAGAACATCATTCTTCTGTGTTGAAGGTTACTGAGGAAAAACAGACCAATTTTTTTTTTCAATTTTAGATTCAGGGGAATAGACGTGCAGGTTTGTACCAGGGGTATATTGCGTGATGCTGTAGTTTGGGCTTCTAATGATCACGTTACCCAAGTAGTGAACATAGCCCCCAATAGGTAGTTTTTCCACCCTTGGTCTCCTTCTTCCTTCTTCCCTCTTTTAGAATCCCCAGTCTTTATGCTTCCCATCTTTGTGACCATAAAACAGACCAATTTCTATGATTTCCCTTTGCTACTTAAATGCAGCACAATGATATTTTCTTGTACATGTACAGAAGTAATACTATGGTTATTTATTCAAAATTGCTAATTTTTAAATTATGAAAATACATGTTCATTAAATGAAATCTTTATGAAACAAACAAACAAAAAATACCAAAAAGGAAGAAAATAATTGGAATTTTCACCATTGGGAGATAATTACAGTTAACATTTTGATGTTCTTTTTGTTTTCTATATATAATCACTGATTCAGAATCTGACTTGTAATTATGCTTTATATACAGTTTCATGTCTTGTTCTTTTTTTGTGACTTTTTTTTTTTCCAAAGGGATCTGTTCAGCTGTCCTTTCATGACGTGCCGGAAGTAAGTTACAGGTCCATCGGCAACCCGCAGTGGTAAAGCAACGTAAAGGTATATTACTGCAAAGACATTATTTATTTATCATGAAAGGAGGAGAGAGCTGAGTGGAAATCTGGCATGGTTACCAGGGAAATGTCTTAGAACACATTTAGAAAAGGAATTTCATATACTGCTACAAACTTGCTTGCTTTTTACAGGCAAGTCACAAGATAGAAACTTTCTCAATATATGCCAACAAGAAGCAGAGGAGACGACTTCAGAGGGCAGCCCTCTGAGTTCACTGGGCGGCCTCCCCTGTGGGCACGGATTCAGTTTCCAGTACTTTGCACAGCATAGGCCTACCTTTCATTACATTATCAGTGAAATTCAGTTCCAGATCAATCTGCTAGTGGCTCTGAATAATGATTCACTTAATAAGTAAATAAGTTCAATCAAAGGGCGTGAGATACAATCTGATATGCGAATGCGGTCTACCCCGATCCATGTGTGTGCTCTTGGCTACCTCTACTCTCATTCCATACAGGAGATTATGGTTTAGTTTTCTAATGTTGCTCATTCACATTATTCCATTTCACCTATTGAGTTTTGCTGGGATAATAAAGGATTTTAAGAGTTACCTTAAAAAAATCTCAGAACCCTACCACTGTAATTCATGTTTTTAACAACTGGACACCCAATGCTGCCTGGAAATCTTTCCAGGACTTCCGAGTAAACTCCTTTTCCTTTTCTCTAAGTGGCTATTTTGAACTGTCTGAACTATTCTCCATTTTTCTTCCTGCATCATGTTCAGCTGATGAACTCCTCTCTTATTTTACAGAGAAAACAGAGAAAGGAACCCTCAAAGTGTGACTGTATATGATGCAGAAAAATGGGGATGTCTGGCTAAGGACTCTGTGAATTGTATGAATAAGTCATAAATTGTAAGTTTTTAAAAAACATATCAATAATTTATATTTTCATGAATCTGTTGTCAACTGTGTGCTTTCTCATTTGCATAATGATGTTAATAATCCTTACCTTTTAGCATTATAGGGAGGAAGAAATGAGATAATGAATATAAGGCTTGCTACAAAGTCTGGAACATATTAGACACCAATAAATTATAATTGAAAAAGATCCATCAAATACACAAAAAGGAACAGTTGTTTCTTAATATTTTGCATCAATTGACTGGAGAAAACCCTTCCAGACAGAATTGAGTCTCCCAGGTATTTAGCAAGCGAAAAGCTTCAAGAAGTGACTTTAGGAATTAATTGCTTTCCTGGTTAAAATACAAACATTTGAACTTCCATAGTTTTTTATTACTTAATATATTTTTTTCCCTCGGTTTTATTAAGAAATGTTACTTTCTTAAAAGTGACTGAAGTTTTATAAACATACAATCATTGCACATTATAGATGATAAATATTTATTCTAATTGCTTTGGCGCATCCATAATGTTGTTAAATAGTAAGTACTCTTTTTAACTGAGCAAAGAATAATTAGTGGCTAATGTTAGCGAAGTACAGAGATGATTATATTCTTTGAGACCTTTCGTCAAAGGATTTAATATACATTCTGCATATTCAGAATCAAAAAAAAAAATGGTTCTGGTACATACTCAGAACCAAAAATAAAGAGCTCTTTTAATTTCTCTTTCTAATAATTTTTACCTATAGGCATGAGCTAAGTCTTTACTACCTTCTGACAAATAACTAAATGTGTGGGTTTGGAATTATTATGTCTAATAGAAAACACTTAAGGTAATTCATATCTATTAACATATACGGAACATTCCAAGAATGTACTGAACATTAGTTGGCACAAGGGTCTAGTAAATAATTCTAACGTGTATTTTCATGACTGAAATGAGAGAACAACAAGATAGGAACTGAAGTGTCTCTAGTGCTTGTGGGAAGTGGTAGAGGAGGCAGGATAATGAAAGAAAGAGTTCAAAAGTGAGAACAGGAGTACTCCGTGGGTGGAGACAGGTAGGAATAACACAGCATAGTGTAGTGCGGTAACCATGAGCTTTGGAATCCGGCAGTTCTGGGCTTGATATATAGTTGTGTGACTTCTGGGTCACATTGTTTTCACTTACAAATACAATTTTCATCACGTTGAAGTTGCAATAAGATGATAACACAGATAACAATAACTATAGCTTACTGAGTGTGCCATATACTTGGCATTGTGCTAAGTAATCATTTTATATTCTGCAGGATATTTTAAGGCATGTAAAATGCATAGAATGTTCCTGTTCTGTTCTTTCTAATTTTCCCTTTATACCTTACAACAGAATAATATATAAGAAAAGATTATAATATACAAAATATATTGATTATAAGCATGTAATTTTGTCATAGGGTAGAAATTCTGTATTTCTAATGAATTGTGAGAAAAATGATGTTTTTTTTTTCTTTTTTTTTTTTTTGGAGACGGAGTTTCGCTCTGTCGCCCAAATTGGAGTTCAGTGGCCGGATCTCAGCTCACTGCAAGCTCCGCCTCCCGGGTTTACGCCATTCTCCTGCCTCAGCCTCCCAAGTAGCTGGGACTATAGGTGCCCGCTACCTCGCCCGGCTAGTTTTTTGTATTTTTTAGTAGAGAGGGGTTTCACCGGGTTAGCCAGGATGGTCTCGATTTTCTGACCTTGTGATCCGCCCGTCTCCGCCTCCCAAAGTGCTGGGATTACAGGCTTGAGCCACCGCGCCCGGCAAAAATGATGGTTTTTAACAAGATGGCAAAAGTAATGGCGTGGAAAGAGGCTTTGGAGCCCGGAATCTCAGCTCTGCTTCTTCAAGCTGTATGGCAGTTCCCTGAGCACTCACACCCCCAGCCCCAGCCCCATCTTGAGACCAGCCGTGCCTATCACTGGGATTTGTAAATGACAGGGGTTTTCAGGGAGACTGCTGATGAAGCCTAATGGGGCTCACTCTGCAAAGGGTCAAATAGACAAGCTTGGCCCTGCATCAAAGCCTCAGTATGTGAAGGGTGGAGACTCTGTCACTTGTCTGTGTCCCCAGCCTTTCTCATCTCTGGATATTAAAGAGAAAGGAGGATAGGAATAAAAATAAAAAGAACTATTTTCACAAAAGGCTTTGTAAGACATTGGTATGCAATGTAATATCTTCTTTGTACTCCTCTAAGAGATTTATATAAAGAGGAGAGTGAGGTCATCCTCTCCCACTTCACAGAACAGTACACGGCTTTTACAGTTTGAGAAATCCCAGCTGTGGTGAGTGGTTGATGCAGCAGTACTCGGCGAGGCGACGGAAGCGGAGGAAAAGTTTAAAACAAGGTAGATGCCCTGTGATAACTCACTGGGCTTTCTAGTCAGCACTGGGTTTATTGGTAAAGACATCTACTAAGGTGTTCTTGAGGTTGCACACAAGAGACTGAGGAATTTGACACAAAGATGGGGTCCTACATCACTACTGAGGGCAAGAGAAAGTAAAATCAGAGTTAAAATCTAGTGTGCTTCTTTGCATTTCTTATAAATATTCTTGTTGTGTTGATACAGACACAGACTGAAGAAAATTAAATTAGCCATTGTGGCCTTTTTTTCCTTTTGGCTCTTGGAATTCAACCAGCTTCGTTGCTAGAATTGTTTATATGATGTAGAAACCTCTTACTGTCCTAATGCCTACACTACTAAAATCGTCACTTATGCACACACTACTTCAAATTTCTGCTTGATTGGACTATGTTCTGATTAGAATTGGCTATGCATGGGCCGTGGTTTTTGAAGCAATTTAAAATGTGTCCAGAGTATAAAGTGTCTATTCATGCGACAAGTATAGATCAATTGAGAAAGATTTGTAGTGATTTTTAATCAGTGGGGTATGGATGTGTGAGGACCTAGATTATTGCAAGCCCTCAGAAAAGTTATATGCACACCAAGAATTATAAAGTAATCTTCCAAGAATATATATTTATTACTGTTTTCTTATAATACGTAAAGCTTGAAATAAAACACAAGTTTATTTAAATTATTCTGAATTGTTAGTGGTTTCTTGTTATTACATGTTTTCTTATACTGAAAATGCTCACGCCTCACACAGGTTCTGAGAAGTTTCTTGATAGTGAGGCATGGAGACTTGTACTCAAAAAGTATGAAAAGAAACAGTGATATATTGTTGGGAGGTGTACACTTCTCACTGTTGACATCATGACAAATAATAGTGTGAAAATATTTTTCCTTACTAGTTTAGAGAATCTCTTTCTATAGATGCAGTATATACATGTATTTGCATTTTACACATACACATACACACAAAAAGTGTCACATATAAAACTACCCCGAATATTTATTACACATCTTTTTAGAGGTAACTAAGTGTTAAAAATATTAAAAGGATAAGACATTTACCCCGCCCTGGAGAAGTTTATGATATACTAGAAGAAAAACTGTGTAGGACTGAAGAAAGGATTATAAAAGTGGTGTGAGTCCACGAGGTGACAGTGTTCACAGAGTTCACATCTGAGGTCAGTCTCAAAGCAGGCAGAGAAGGGCAGAGAGAGGTGAATGGTGGCATGAGTTCTATCACAAAATCCTAACGTCCTGTCAGGGAATGACAAGCTGTATGGTGTGATCGAAAATATGGCTAAGTATGGGGCAACGAAAAGAGTATAAGAACACAAATATTCCCCACTGATTTTTGACAAAGGTACAAAAGAAATTCAGTGGAGGAAAAATTGCCTTTTCAACAAATAGTGCTGGAATAATTGGTATCCACAGTGGGCAAATAAAGAACCTTGACTTAAACATCACATTTTATTAAAAATTTAACTCAAAATGGATAATGTACTTAAATGTAAAATGTAAAGCTATACAATTTTTGGAAAAAAATGTAAGAAAAAATCTTTGAGACTCAGTGCTAGGCAAAGTTTCTTAGTTTTGACACCAAAGGTACCATCTATAAAAGAAAGAATGAATGCAGGAAAACCTGATCTAAAAGTGCCTATGAGACATTCAGATGGAGCTCTCCAGTAATCAGGTAGAAGTGCAAGAGAGGCTGGGCGTGGTAGCTCACGCCTGTAATCCCAGCATTTTGGGAGGCTGAGGCGGGCGGATCACCTGAGGTCAGGAGTTTGAGACCAGCCTGACCAACATGGCAAAACCCCGTCTCTGCTAAAAATACAAAAATTAGCCGGATGTGGTGGTGGGAGCTTGTAATCCCAGCTACTTGGGTGGCTGAAACGGGAGAATTGCTTGAACCTGGGAAGTGGAGGTTGTGGTGAGCTGAGATTGCACCACTACACTCCAGCCTGCTTGACACAGAGTGAGGGGCTCCATCTCAAAAAAAAAAAAAAAGCTTGAGACAGAAACCAGGGTTTTAGGAGTCAATTCAGATGCAACCTACCTATAGGTGATAGATAAAACTTTGTGGATCCATAAGATAATTGTGGGAGTATGTACAGGAAGAGGAGATGAGGGTGGATCATGTGACTTCAGCAAACAATAATATTTTAAGAGAAAGAATAGCAATGAAGGAAAATGAGAAAGTAGTTAGTGAAAACGGAAGAGAATTAAGAAAAGGTACAACTCAAAAAGTGAAAGGGAGATTTCAGGAATGGGGGTGTGGACAGTAGTGCTGCTGTATAACTGATCCAGGCACGAGAGCCTGAGGGCTCTTTGGATTTGGCAGTTAGTACTTTATTCAAGGGGCATCAATAGACTCCTATCAATAAAGGTCAGAATCCACACTGCAAAGCATTCAAGGGTGAAAGGGAGAGATGAAGGGAAAGCAGGTCATGTAGGTTAATTTTGGAAAAGTTTGGAGGTGATAGGGAGGGAAAGAAAATTTGCTTAGCAAGCCTGAGTTGGGGAGTTTTTTGTTTTTGTTTTTTAGTATTTCTGAGTGCAGGATCCTGTGGATGAGACAGCCATAAGAAAAGGAACACAAATAAGGAGCTGAGCAAGGTGCAGAGGAGATGGGAAAGGATGGAATCAAGAGAATAAATGTAGAGGCTTGCCTTAGAAAGAAGTTAGGGAGTTGAATGTTCAAATTGCACATTACAAATAAATTAGAGAGCTATTTATAATATACATTAACTTCCATTTGTATTTTGTATTTATTTTTTAGTTTTTCAAAAGGGATTTTATGAGATTTACTGTTATACCCAAGGTAGTATATGATAAAATTATTAGGTAAGGAAAATCAGGTAAAGGAGAATAAGGTTAGAGAAAATAAGATGAAGTCAGGAATAATGTTAGTATGCAAAATAAGTCTTGGGCTCTTGCTGGAGGTTAGCCACAACTTGCAAATTGGTTTATAAGAGCTTTGAAAGCAGTATCTGTATTTTCCAGTGCCCATAGCATCTAGAAGAGTGATAAGCATACTGTGACTATTTCGGAAAATATCTTTCCTTCATGAAATAATGCTGCCAATTACTGCAAATTTTCCATATTTGGTTGTTAAGCTGAAAAAAGGTAAGAAAAATACAAAATGACTGGACAAAAGATGACTCATACTTACAATTTCATTGTAAGTGGGGTCTGTACATTTTGGAACAGATTTTGTTTTCCTCCTACGAACTTCACTGGGATATGGTAAAAGATAAAATTCAACATGTGCACTGGGCGCAGAGCCATCTGGGAGATGCTGCAAAGGAAAATGGTTATAAATATTAATGCATGTTGCTATCAAAGAAAACAAATACAGAGCTACTAAATATCCAGACCAAAGGCAGGATCAGGATTTATTACAGTCATTTTGTTGATCTGAAAATAAGAGAAAATCAAAAAGATATTCATCAATGCTCAAAGATAATTCCAAACTACAGTTTAAAAGAGTAAAGCTGGCCATCTTAAGTGTTGTGTCAGACAACTATATTTAAAGTCCAGTACATATAATTTACTTTAATTTTTTGCTGTAAAATCTAAATTTTCATTTTGACAGATATGGTAAAGAGATAAATATTAGCCACAAGCAGAGACAAAAATATAAGTGCCTCAGGATGCTGTACACCACTTTTGAAAATTAAAAATTCAAGTTCAACATATAAAATGAGATGTGACATTTAATAATATGTATATGTATATTATGCAATATCACATTTTAAAATAAAATATAGTTAAAATATTAATTAGAGCTATAACTTTAATAAACTGACAAGATTTAAAAATGATAATAATTTTATGATCTAAATTACATTAAATTATGTTGGATAATCTCTTTTAAATTGTGGTCTATGGTGCTCCAAAAGTTGCCTAAGAAGTTGTCTGAACAGCATGGCTGAATGGGTGGATCTCCGGACCTCCACTCCCCAGTTCTTCCTTCAACTCTCTCCTCCTCAGCTACCCATCCTGGCTTCAGAACTTGTTTCCACCTTTTCCATCTTGCCTTCAAATCTGTTATGGATATGTTAATTTCTAAATAGATCATTTGTAGAACGACTCCCCTGTTTCAAAAATCTGGAAACCATCATACTTGAAAAAAATGGATTTTACCTTTGTGATCTTGACCAACTGTAGAGTAAATGGTACTAAAACTCTGAATGTCTAGTTTTATAAAATAAGAAATATTTGTATAATTTATATTTAAAGTAGATGATTTAAAAATAAAACTTGAGGAATTGAGTGCCTGTTTTGTTTACTAATTCTATTAAATCTAATTTTAAAGAAATATATTTTAATGTTCTGAAATACAGAGATGTTCACATGTGAAAAGCCAGTGCACCCCCACACTCAGCTCCATTAGCTTTAATTTCACATCTTTCTTCAGAACTCACAAAAGCATATAGTAAAGCAAGAAAATATGATATATATTATTACAGGACTAAATTTTATTCAGTTCTAAATGACACATTAAAAATTATATCATTGGGAGTTTGGGTTTTTATTATAGTTATTAACAAATAAGATAAAATATATCTGGACACACTCATTTGTCAATGTTAAGAATGAGGACTGGTACTTTAGTGGAGCTCAAGGTATACCTCTGCCATTTGCTATCCTCCCCCAGGAGGGGAAGCACTGAAATCTATCAATGGTATAATGAAATCTTCAGTGACACAGAAAGAAGTTGCTATTAATATTTGGGAGTAGATTTTTTTTTTGGTGAGAAGAATGAAGTGGTAAAAGTGTTTCTGCTCTGTTTAACTCTCTGTCTTATCTGTCTTGGAATTTGAGGATATCCTGCCTATAATCCCTAGATACTGCAACTTAGTGGGTAAAACGTGTTTCTGGAAATGGATTTTCTGATTGCAAATCTGGGCCCCCAAATTTGCCAGCTATGTGGCTTTAGGCAGGTGTGATGGTTAGTTTTGTGTGTCAATATGGCTGGGTCATGGGATGCCCAGGCATCTGGTTAAACATTATTTCTAGGTTTGTCTGTAAGGGTGTTATGTGGCTCAAGCACTGCATAAATGACCTAAAACTTCTATGTGTGCCCTGAAGGAGACCCTTATCTCCTGTACTGTAGGGCTGAGATTGCTTAACACCAAATGCAGAATCTCAGCTTGACACTGGTTTAATTACAATGCAAGTTGAACTCCAAGCTTCACAAAGTGTCTACTGTTAAAGTGAAGCATTGATGAGATTCTGTAAGTTGGGATGGCGGTTGTGTAGAAAGTCGCTGATCAAATTTGGGACATGGAGCTCCTAAATTCTGATGAATCTTCTTTTCTAGTGGAAGTGGCCTCCTTGTCCCCAGTGGTAACTCCTTCTCTACTTCATCTCCACCCTCTGGGAGGATCAACTCTGCACTGTCTGAGCAACTAGAGATAGCCTCCTCTGAGGCAGCTGCTATGCAAGACAATTTTAATTCTCCTGAGAAACCTTTACTTCTACCTCATCTCTCATCTCTCTCTGCTCCTAGCCCTATAACCAAACTCAAATCCCAGCTGGCCCCTAAAGTTGAGGTTCAAAGTGTGACCCAGGAAGATGTGTGCTACACTCCAAAAGAATTACTTGAGTTTTCTAATTCATACAGACAGAAATCTGGGTAATAGGTGTAGGAATGGATACTAAGGGTGTGAAATAACAGTAAAAAGAACATAAAGTTGTATTAAGTTAAATTTTTTTTTGTTGTTCTGGGCTCACTAAGCAGAGATTCTTCATTTAATGTTGAAGCTTGGGGAATCAGAAAGGGTTCTAACAGTGTGTTGGGTTGACTGACACACGGACCAAAAGGTGGACAGGCTGGACCTGCCTTGATTTAATGTAGTGGATAGGATTAAAAGCATAGAGAGAGTGGATTCGTCTTAAAAGACCTACTCACCCACATTGAGAGTAATCAGAAGACACAATTTTCAACAACACTGTGAGAAATAAATTTGTGAGGGGAGGCCCAGCATCCTTGAAAAGCTCTGTGATCACTCTTCTCTGTAGGCCAAGCCTCACAGTAGGAACTGCAGTCATCGAATCGGGAAACCTAAATGCAAAGGGGGTAATTAAACCCCAGTGTGGCAGGGGCCAAATTGCCTTGCTAAACTGGTCAGGGTGAGTGTGGTTACCATAGTGGACTGCAGGGTCAAAGCAGCTATCAGAACAGTCTGATTCCTGCAGACCCATGACGTAGGCTAGCTTTTATGTGTTTCTTGAAGTGAAATCCATAGGAAGACTACAAATTCTTATCTGATTTTTTGTAAGAAAAAAAAATCTAGGTCAAGTGAATAAAATCTTATCTGAATCATAAAAACAGAGAGTCGCGGCCTCTCAATTAATTCCTAGACTTGAGTCAGCTTACAGATCCAGAAACCCTTGAAGGAAGGACACATTGGGTCCCCTTGAGGAAAGACTCTTGGATACTATCCAAAATTTATACTGTTAGTCTTTATCCAAAGGGACCTATGGGTTTTTACCAGGATAACTGTGCACTAGGGGAAAGGATCTTTTGGGAACTACTGGACACTGGCTCTGAACTGACACTGAATTCAAGAGACTCAAAATGTCACTGTGGACCACCAGTCAGAGTAGGGGGCTTATAGAGGTCAGGTGATCAATAGAATTTTAGCTCATGTCTGTCTCACAGTGGGCCCTGTGGGTTCTCAAACCCATCCTATGGTTACTTCTTCAATTCTGAAAGGCATAATTGGAATAGACATAGCAGCTAGCAGAGTCCTCACATTGGTTTCCTGACCTGTGAAGTGAGGGTTATTATGGTGAAAAAGGTGAAGTGGGAACCACTAGTATTGCCTCTATCTAGGAAAATAATAAACCAAAGCCATGTTACTGGGGGGATTTCAGAGATTAGTACAACTATCAAGTACTTGAAAGACACAGGGGTTTGGGGTGAATCCCACCACATCCCCACTCAATTTGCCTATTTGACTATATGGATGAATCTTGGAGAATGAGAGTGGATTATCATCAGCTTAATCAAGTGATAACTCCAAATGTAGCTGCTATACTAGATGTGGGTTCACTGCTTACACAAATTAAGACATCTCCTGATACCTGGTATGCAGCTATTGACCTGGCAAATGCTATTTGTATCAATACCTGTTAACAAAGACCACCAGGGGTGCAGTGACTTACGCCTGTAATCCCAGCACTTTGGGAGGCCGAGGTCGGGGGGATCACCTGAGGTCGGGAGCTTGAGACCAGCCTGAGCAACATGGAGAAACCCCATCTCTACCAAAAATAAAAATTAGCTGGACGTGGTGGCACATGCCTGTAATTCCAGCTGCTTGGGGGCTGAGACAGGAGAATCACTTGAACCCAGGAGGCGGAGATTGCTGTGAGTGTAGATGTGCCATTGCACACCAGCCTGGGCAACAAGAGCAAAATTCCATCTCCAAAACAAAACAAAACAAACAAAAACAAAGACCAGCAGAAGCAGTTTGCTTTCAGCTGACAAGATCAGCAAGTCACCTTCACTGTCCTACATCAGAGGGACATCAACTCTCCAGCTCCATGTCATAATTTAGTTCACATGATAACACACTGGTCCATTACATTGATGACATTACGCTAACTATAGACTTATTTGTGAGACTTTTGTATGTCAGAGGGTGGAAAGTAAAGCTGACTAAACTTCAGAGGACTTCTATCTCAGTGAAATTTTTAGAGGTCCAGTGGTGTGGAGCATGTTGATATATCCCTTTTAAGATAAAGGATAAGTTGTTGCAGCTGGCTTCTCCTACAACCAAGAAAGAGGCACAATGCCTAGTGGGTCTATGGGATTTTGGAGACAGCGTACTCCTCATTTGGGTGTGTTAGCCTGGTCCATTTGCTGAGTGACTGGAAAAGCTGCTTGTTTTGAGTGGGACTCAGAAGAAGAGAAGGTTCTGCAACAGGTCCAAGCTGCTGTGCAAGCTGCTTTGCCACATGGGTTACATGATCCAGTAGATCTAATGCCGCTTAAAGTGTCAGTGGCAGAAAAGATGATGTTTGAAGCCTTTGGCAAGTCCTTATGGTGAATTTCACCACAGGCCCTTAAGATTTTGGAGCAAAGACCTGCCATCTTACGCAGATAACCTATCTCCTTTTGAGTAATAGCTCTTGACCTGCTACTAGGCCTTAGTGGTGACTGAATGCTCAACCGTGGGCCACCATGTCGCCATGTGCCCTGAGTTGCCTATCACAAATTGGATGTCATCTCACTCATGAAGCCATAAAACTGGGTGTGCATCACAATACTCCATCATCAAGTGAAAT